AAAAAAAAAAAGAACGCCCAAATCTGACTTCGTATGAGGAAGTTATGAATTTTCTAAGATTTGGCATAATAGTGCACGACCCGAAACTCGGGTTTTAGTTCGAGCGGTTTTTGGCCTACGCAACCTAAATAAGAGTTGAAGATCTCATCAATAGGAACTCAACGATAAAAAGACAGACAAAAACGGAGTCCGTATGAAGGAGTTACGAATTCTTCGCGGTCATTTAACAGTCTAATCTCCTCCTACTGTTAATTTAAGATCGGTCGAGAATTAGCCGACGGAGTCTAAATGAAAGTTGTAGATATTGTTTTTACCTACGCGTGGAAAAAAAGAACGTCGAAAACGGAGTTCGTATGCGAGAGTTATGATTTTTCTAAGTCGGGAGGGTGCTGTGCGAGTTTGGGTGACGTGGCGCGATCACAGCCGTTGCTTTCTCTCCAAGGAAAGCCATCAGATGATGACACATGGCACTGACTTGGCGAGTCCATCAGGAATTCAGCCTATAAATAAGAGTGTCGAGTTCCCTCATTTCCTCACCCCTCAACCCTCTTCTTTCTCTCTCTATACTCTCTCTAAGCTCCATACCCCTCCCCCCTAAAGTCTAGGTAAACCCCCTAGCACCTGAAGGAAGCCCCGAGGCTCCCGAAGCCCCGAGAAAAGAGCCTTTCGGCTCGGGAACGCTGCTCCAGCGAAGCCCGGTTTTCGAAAAAACCCGTTGTAAGTGAGCTATGTCTAACCTATCTTTAGTATAGCTTATGTTTCAATATAGTAATGTTATTAGGAACTTATAATGAGTATTTGGGCTATTATTATGAGTTATATAAGTGTCGTTATAATATCTTTTTAACCACTCGCGGTATGGGGAATTGTAACGCCCGTAGATCCGGACTAGTCAATTTAGAGACGATAAGCATCAAAAATGACTTTTTCATGGAAGATTATTTAGAAGGAGTAATCTTAACTAAGTTGTAGTCTATGTTACAAGGATTCCGTACATATAAAGAACGCCGAAATCCGAGTTATAACGAAGAAGTTATGACCTG